GCGGCCTCATGTTTAACTTGTTGTCCACCAGCACTCCCAGCTCCTTCTCGGCAGAGCTGCTTTCCAGCAGGTCAACCCCCAACCGCTACTGGTGCGTGGGTTTATTCCTCCCCAGGTGCAGGACCTTGCACTTGCCTTTGTTGAACTTCAGGACGTTCCCCTCTGCCCAGCTCTCCAGCCTGTCCAGGTCCCTCCAAATGGCCGCACAGTCTTCTGCTGTGTCAGCCACTCCCCCCAGTTTAGTTGCATCAGCACACTTGCTGAGGGTGCACTCTGTGCCTTCCTCCAGGCCATCGAGCAATACATCAAGCAAGACTGGACCCAGGACTGACTCCTGGCGGACACCGCTAGCTACAAGCCTCCTGCTAGACTCTGCACCACTGACCACAACCCTCTGAGCTCGGCCATCCAGCCGGCTCTCAATCCACCTCACCGGCCACTCATCCAACCCACGCTCCCTGAGCTTACCTACGAGGAGGATGTGATGGGAGACAGTGGCCAAAGCCTTGCTGCAGCCCACGCAGACAACATCCACTGCTCTGCCCTCATCTACCCAGCCAGTCATTCCATCCGAGAAGGCTATCCGATTGGTCAAGCATGATGGCCCTTTGCTGAATCCGTGCTGCCTACTCCGCATCACCCTCTTGTCCTCCACATGCTTAGCGAGGACCTCCAGCATGAGCTGTTCCATCACCTTGCCAGGCAGGGAGGGGAGGCTGATAGGCTTGAACTTACTTATTTGACTGATTGATGAACAGTCTTTTAAAAAAGATAATACAACACTCTGCATTAAAAAGATTAAAAGGCAATGCAAATACTCACCTTAACTATCAGTCCCTAAGACGTGAAAAATATTCATCTCCCCCAGTGCAGATATTGTGCATCCTTTACAAATTACATCCAAAAGATTCCCAAGACATCGGCATGCACACCCTCAAAGTGACTGATTTGCTGGTACAATAATGGGAATGAGTTTCTTACAGATACCAGTCTCTGTTTGTGCAGTTTCTCTCAGGTACACCTGAGCTTGCTCAGAAAGGATAACAGATGATGAAATCATCCTAGTAATATGTCATGTTATCTACTAGTAACACTTCAAAGATCAATTTTCTGCCATTCATTACTTCAAGACTTGAACAAACAATATTCTGGCAGGAACAAATTCTAAAGTTGCTGATTTAAATCAAAAGGAGCTGAAAGTGACCTGTACGGTCAAATAATTCCTTAGCATCTTCCTTTCTTATCAAGATGCTTCATCACTCCACCTGATGACCTGCTCTGTGAAATCAGACTCTCAGGATTTACTGTCTCCTTCCGGCACTCATCAAAAGCTAGATGTTCCTAATCTTCATAACGTCCCGGGTATTTAAATAAGCAATCCTCACTTGCACAGTCTTTTTAATAGAATACTCATGTGGTCAGAGCTGAGTGCGCTTGCATTGCTATGCAGGGACCTAAACATCCCCACCCCAAACTACCTACTAGTCCAGACTGTGCTACATGTCTGAAACTGCTCGGCTGTCTACACACGAGGAAGAAGCAGCATGACTTTTTCCTAGTGTTCAAGTGAACACCTTCACAAAGTGATTTGAATTGAAAGTAGCTGAAGTCCATAGCATTCAGTTTTTGGAACCTAAAAGAATATTTGGACCAAGTGCATTTGAATTAAAGGCCATGGAATGACACTGGAAAGGAAGCCAACCCACAGTATTAAAGCTTTGTCCTAACTTCAGAAAGTTATTTCACCAATATGTCCTTTAAAAGCAAGTCACAACACAAACATCCACTGTTGTACACAGACAAGTATTTTTATTTTGCAAAATTAATATAGCTTGATCCCAGAGATGCCTATAACCGGCAAGGCACTTAAACTCTTCTCAAGAGGTCCACAAATTCCTCTTGCCGAGAACTCCAGAAACTGTTTAAAAATAAAAATTCTTCAGGCTTCCCTTTCTTGGGATTATACTCAATTAAGAAATAAGTTTCTTTAGGAAGCTGGGTAATATTTCACTTGGCTGTTTTTGTGTTACTCAAGTATATACTTAGAATCAAAAATTTACAGTCTCTTAAGCAGCGTTTTCTTCTTCTGTATGAGCTTGCTCTCCGTTTCACACTTCAGTTACATACCAGAAGACAAATAAAATACATGTGTTTTGTGCTAAGTATTAACACTGCAGCAAGGCTGTGCATCACCATTTTTCTCGCAGCTTTTATGGGTCTGCTTACTGTCTGAAACAAAACATTTCCTCAAGAACATGGAGATGCTGAACAATCACTGTACAACAGTCAAAATGCAATGCAGATAACCTGAAATCTCTTCTGCACAGTGAAAGCTATTCCACAATGATCTACTAGGAGCTCTGTGTTAATCTGATATGCTTCTCCTATGCTCAGGTTGAATGGCCATGCAAAAATTTTGTCATCTCAGGAAAGCAGGGGTAAGGCCTTTTTTTTGTTTGTTTGTTTGGTTTTAAAGTCACAGCAGTGACTACATCTACACGCATCTGACAAGGTGCGAAATTTTGTTTCTAACATATCAGTGTTACTTGCCAAATGTCTTCCATACTGTAATAGTTCTCCACTGCTGAGAGAGTAAGTTTCTAGAGCTCTGTATCACTCTAGAACTGGCCTTTTCTACAGCACCCAAAGACTACAGCCACATCAGCCTGGTTAGTGGCAAACACGTCTCTTTCAAATGGAGGAGCAGCACATGCCTCCTTTTTCCATGCGAGTTTCTCTGCACCAGGTGTCCTACTTGCTGTGTGTTGTCACAGCCACAGGGACTCCTGTCTCAGCACAAAGCCAACGTCCATGTGGGGAAATCATTTTCACTTAATGTACTTCATGTTAGTGTGTATCAGAGGCAGGTCTTTGCATTCGTACTGATTGGATTTCATGAGGTTGCTGTCAGGCCATTTCTCCAGCCTCTCCTAGTCCCTCTGAAAGTCAGCCATATACCCCCAGTTTGATACCATTGCAAATTTGATGAGGTATGTTACCTCTCCTTCTCCAGCTCACTGACAGAAATGTTAAACAGGAAGGGTCCCAGGACAGACCCTTGAGGTGTCATACCTGTAACCAGCCTCCAGGAGGAGTATGAATCACTAAGCACTACCCTGTGAGTCCAGAAAAGCTGCCAGGTTTTCACTCACCTAAATTGTAACATTCCAAACTGGAAAACAAGGGTGTTCCAGCAGCACATGTTGAAGGCTGAAATCCATCTAGATACACCAACTGCACCAACAAGTCTAGTACTTTCAGCACAGAAAGCACTGAGATTTACCAAGCAGGATTTACTACACGGTAAATTCACGCTGGCAATTCCTAATCATTGCTCCCAAGACCCTTTCTTGCCTGCATTTACAGCCACATCTCTTTCCTCACTCCCAGAATCGTGACTGCACACAGCTCTCCTTCTGGCCTACCTTCCCCAAGCTTTCTGCCAAGCTGACATCCAAAGGGAACAACCCTGTTTCCAGACACAGCTTTTAAACAGAAAATGTCAACAAGAGGGAGATGGCAGAGCAACATCCCACAAGAGCTTCCTGGAACAGACTCAGCTGAGCTTTGCTAGGGACACAGTGGTTCTACCAAGGAAAAAAAAAACTCAGCCTCCAGAATCACATCACTGCCAAGTAAAGCCCACTCAGCAATTTGCTGCAATACAGCAGCAGGGAGAAAGAAGGAGTAGACCATAACCAACACCACCACGAAGCACAGGTGTTCACAGAGATGCCAAACAGTTTGATGTGAGATTTCCTTGACTGATAAGTTCTGATGCGGAAGACCTTCAGCAGTTCAAAAGGATTCATCTGAGAACAAATTCTACACATCTAGAGAGATGCTCCAATTAGAATGGAGACAACACTCCTGACAAACACCAAGAAACAACACTGAGTCGAGGCATGTTACTGCATGCATGCTACACAGCTACTTTTTAATCCAGCTCCTTTAGGAAGCAGCTCACTACTTCAAGGACGTTGCAAAACATCTCTCTTGTCATACAGCCACAGAGCAATCAACACCAGAGGTATCATGTCCATTAAAACAGGGGGTAAGGGGGTACTAACATGAATCAAGCGATGAGCAAGCCTACAAGAGTCCAGCTGAAGCACCAAAAAAAAGGAGTGTTCCATATGTCTATAGCAGGTGAACATTTGAGACTACCCACATTTGCTTTTCAGAGCTTTCTTGTCTTTTCTCCTCCCCCCAAAAGCAGCAATATTCAACTTCTCCTAAGGACCAGTACATATGCTACATGCACGAGAGAGAATTTTCTAACTGGGATTTAGGAATCCTACCTGTCAGGGCTGGGATGGTGACTTTGCTCCATTCCCACGGCTGATCATACTCATCCGCGGGCCTGTCATCATCCTGTGGCAACTTGCTTTCTCGTAAACGCTGACTCACCACACTTTCAGAATCCGATTCCACACCACTGCCTCCTGGTTCATAGGGTGTGTCATAGAGCTGCATGCTTTTTTGATGGGAATTCATGTTCTCCTGCCTCTGAAATTCTGTCGGTAAAAAAGAAAATTGCAACAGTGTCACTACTGACCATGCCTTATCATTGCAGTTGTTAATTTTAGTTTAACTTCCATGCACTTAATAATATCCCTGTAATTATACTACAGATGACAAGCTACTACAAATGCATCTCTGCATTTAGTAACTGCCTGCAAGCAACAGTTTGCTCTACCTAAAAAAAAACAACTGCAGCACACTTTTGTGCCGCCGCCAACATACCCCAGTTTGCACAGAGCCAGATTACAGGGAGCAAGCTGTACTTATCAGCCTGTGTGTGTAAAGTGCACTCACAGGCAACCGCACATAAATTCGGAGAACAGTGATGTTGATGTATGCAGTTAAGTCTTCAAGAAGCGGTAGTGCGGAACTGCAACTCAAAGATACCAAGAACAAAAAACAAATCCCACAATACTTACACATGCTGACATAAAATTATTTGCAGTTACCCCTAGAGAAGACAAAATATCAACAGAAAATGAACTGGGGTTAAATTAAGAAAATGCAAGACACACAGTGGTAACTAGACCTTAGCTCACATTATTTCAGTACTAAGGAGCACATAATATATATTTAAATTAACACTGACTTTGTCAAAAAACAGACATGTTGAAGCTCAGCAGAAAGGAGCAAATGCACTGTCATCACAAGTAAGATAAAACACAAACCAAGCTGCGTTTGGCGGAACACAGTCAACAAATAGAGAGGGAAGCCACCATGCCCTCTCCTTGCCCCCAAGGAGGCTGCACCCACTAGACTACTGTGTCCAGTTTGCCCACACCACCCTCCACACAGTTGATAAAACGAGAAAGGGGCCATCACCAGCTAGGCAGCAGCCTGAGGTGCTCGGCTGATGTGGAGAGGCAGAGGGAGGCAGAGGGAGCTGGGTTTGGTTAGTCTGATGAGGAAGAGGCTAAGGGGGAAATCTAACAGCGTCCTGCACTACCTGAAGGGCAATCAGAGCCCAGTCCTTCTCAGCCGTGCCAGGCAACGCAATAAGGAGCAACAGGGGCAAGATGCAGGGTGAGGGATCCGGGTGGGACATTGGGGGAACAGTTTTGCTAGGGACAGGTTGCCAGGGAGGCGGTGGTGGAGCGGGTCCTCATTCTTTGAGGTTTACAAGCTTTGGCTAGACAAAGTCAGGGCCGCTCGATCTACTGCGGTGAGCATTCAACCCATCAGAGTGAGACCGGGCTGGACACCTCTAGGGAGCTCTTCCCATTCTGTCAATTATCGCACATGTCAATGCTATGCAGAAACAATACAAAAGAGGGTTTTCAAGCTCTAGTGATTAATTTAGTTCTCACTTGCATGCTAGGTAATTTGCATTTAGGCTATAGAAAACTCTTGCAAGTCTTCAGGCATACAGCATACTGAAACTTTATAGGGAGTTAGATTTGGGCAAGTTGCATCACTTGTAACTCTCACCTTGCATCCCACATAACATGTTCCTCCAGCATTCATTCTCCAGTGTGGGGCAATCTAACTCACAGGTAGGCTGCAAACCAACTTTTACAACGTCCTTGCAAACTTCACTCTGCCAGTTTATAGTTCATTTTTTCTACACTCAATAGATAACAGTCTGCAAATGAGTACTGCGCTGATGGACAAAGGCCGAGCAGGAAATGGATTTTGACAACTGCCAGATAAGTGTTCATCTTTTGTGAAAAGTCTGTGTTGCCATGCACAAAGAATTGTGAATAGATATGTCATACTGCTTAAAGTATTTCATAGCTTTGCACTGCTACCATGGCTCCATGCTCCAGCCTGTGAAGTGTATTCAAGAACTCAGGTTTATGAGATGTTTCCTGCAGCAAGCTGAAAACACCCAGAATTCAACCAATACATTTTCATATCTTAAAAAAGACATAATCAAGGAATATTTCAATCTTCACTCTGGTCTATCCTAAAAAAGTTCAAAGTCGCAAGGTAAACTCTGTAGCAGGCATAAAAATTCTGGCCCATTAGCTCTTCCTCATTTTAAGTGGGCAGAATTGTAAACAGTTTCCCAGCAAGACAAAACAGTTGTCCCATACAGGAACCATCAGTTGGATACACTACCCTAAAAGGAAGCAAGCAGCAGGATGTGAAACCATTATCCTGATTGGTATACAGAAAAGTCATTAGTTGCAGCAAATGCCACAGTTAATTAAAAAAAAAAAAAGGATAAAGAAAGAAAGAAAGAGAGAAAGAAAGGCTTATGGAAAAGCAAAGAGGATTTTTTTAACCTACAAATGAAGTAAAGTTTTACAGAAGTCCTTTCCATAACCCTAAAACACATTCATCAATTCATCTACCAGCAAGAATAGTACACTGAAGTGTACTAGCCAGTACAAGTGTACAAGCCAGTACACTGGCTCAAAACCACTTCAAAAATACTGTGAAAAATCTACAATAGGACAATGTCCTTACTGTTTAGAAAAACACAGTAAGTTTATATATTACAGATACAGCAAATCTGAAGAAATCTACAGCAAAACCAATGATGAAAATACAAGTAATAAAGGTCTGGATAATTCCTAGTCATGAATAACAACAACATTCCTACCTTTGCAATACAATCAAGGGTATCCAGCTTGCTTGAAAAAAGTACTTTCAGCTCACCAAAAATAAAATGCCGTTCTTGTGTTTCAGTTGTCTTTCTAAAAGAATTCTGCTCAAACACACTATGCTACATTAAGAAACAGCTAATTAAGAACCCGCAGCTGATACTCAGCTATGGACTATTAGTACTTCCTTGAATTCTCCTGCGTGAAAAAAGCATCTCATTTCCTCTAAGTCACAAATGCAGCATGTGTCTGTCTTTCAGGACTGTGAAGTCAACCACTGCTATACAAGGAAGCGCGTATTCCCAAGGAAGAGAAGCCATAGTCCTACCCAAGCAGAGATTTTACAAGAAAAATTTGCTACTTTTCAATGCCAAATACAGCTACAACACTGGCTCCTGGTGTGTGAATATAATTCCATACAGGAGCTGATGATCAGCTCTCTTCTTTTACCTTCATGCGTAAAAAGCATCAGACTGCGCAGAAAAAATGACCTTTAAAATAGAAGGCGATAGACTACTATTTAATGCCCTGTGGTCAGACAGTAAAATGACAGATTTTCGATCCTGAAGGAGAAAAGTTTTTATAGGAAAAGATTGAAACTAGGGAGGGTAAGGGTAAGTGCATGCGTGTGTGTGTGTACTTTAGCAGGATTTTTTTTTTTTTTTTTTTTTTTAAAGCCTGGCTTTGAAGGCCAAGAGTCTTTTCACTGTAAAGGCCACAAGGGCAATGAAAAATACATTGAAAAAAAAAGGAGCAAAAGGTTTTTTTACAGACCACTCTCCGTTTACATTTGAATGACTAGAAGTTCTGATTTGTTACTTTTGTCCTTTAAACTCTCGCTTCTCATAAAGCAAAGGGCATTTTTATAGATTTATGCTTATTAAGCTAACTAGCTAATGGAAGAAGAAGCAACCACAGTTTCCAAAGATGTTATTTTACTATCAGGCTAGAAGAGACACACAAATAATTCTTATTCTCTCAAACTAGCAGTTATGACAGAATAAGGCTCCAGGAGTCTGGGCTCCTATGTGAAACTGAGAAACTGACCAGCAAGGTACAGAAACTGAGACACCTGGAAGCATAAGATTATGAGATACAAGACTGACCTTGACATTCTTTCCATCTGCTGAGCAATTCGAACAGATACCCACATACAGAACAGACCGACAGCTCCACAGGATGAGCAGATAACCCCATGGTAGCCACACTAACCATTTTAATGGTTTTAAATAACAGAATCACAGAATCGTTTAGGTTGGAGATCATCTAGTCCAACCCCCCTGCTCAAGCAGCGTCCTCTAGAGCATATTGCCCAGGATCACATCCAGGCGGGTTTTGAACATCTCCAGCGAAGGAGACTCCACGACCTCTCTGGGCAACCTGTTCCAATGCTCTGTCACCCTCACAGTCAAGAAGTTTTTCCTCAGGTTCAGGTGGAACTGCCGGTGGTTCAGTTTCTGCCCGGTGCCCCTTGTCCTGTTGCTGGGCACCACGGAGAAGAGGCTGGACTCATCCTCTCGACGCTCCCCCTTCGGATACTTGTACACGTTGATGAGATCGCCTCTCAGTCTTCTCTTCTCCAGGCTGAACAGCCCCAGCTCTCTCAGCCTTGCTTCACAGCAGAGATGCTCCAGTCCCTTCATCATCTTTGTAGCCCTCTGCTGGACTCTCTCCAGTAGCACCATGTCTCTCTTGTATTGCGGAGCCCAGAATTGGACACTGTACTCCAGGTGAGGCCTCCCCAGGGCTGAGGACAGGGGGCAGGATCACCTCCCTCCACCTGCTGGCAACACTCTCCTCCGCCCACCTCTCCAGCCTGTCCAGGTCCCTCCGAATGGCAGCACAGTCTTCTGCTGTGTCAGCCACTCCCCCCAGTTTAGTTGCATCAGCAAACTTGCTGAGGGTGCACTCTGTGCCTTCCTCCAGGTCATTGATGAATATATTGAACAAGAGTGGACCCAGGACTGACCCCTGGGGGACACCACTAGCCACAGGCCTCCAACTGGACTCTGCGCCATTCACCACAACCCTCTGCGCTCAGCCATCCAGCCAGTTCTCAATCCACCGATATCATTATATAACCCAATATCATTAATCATAGATGCCCTGTATTTCTTAGGCACCCCTGAGGGGAGCTCAGAGATATTTAGGGGAAATGCCATGAAGAAAACAGCACATCTACAAAGACAAAAAAAGGAAACTTTGAGGACAGTACTGCATGCTCACAAAATCCAAGAGCTGGGCATGCTTTCTGTCTGAGAGGATGCAACAGACAATAGAACAACTAGATTCTTCTACAATATACAGGAGACAAAGGACATTTTCTTCACCTCAAACTAAAGCATCCAGTAACAAGGGGTCAAATAATGTAATCACATTCCAAATAAAAGTTCTGACAAAGTAAAACAAACAAACAAATAACAAAAAAACCTCTGAGCCAAACGTTTCCGTAAGAATCACCTGGCAGTAAACTGAACTTCATCTGACAGGCCACTTCACAGAGTAACACAGCCCTTGGAAGCACTCTAAGACTTTTAATTTCTGCGGAAAACAAGAAGAAAATTTCCATTTTGTAACATTTCTTTCAATGAAATACGACAAAAACAAAATGTAGAAGTCCTCCTGTAAGACCCAAGTGAGGAACATAACATATAGAAAGGTTCCCTGAAGTTAAGCACTGGTAAGAGTGCTTCTCTTCTCTTGCCAGACAGGAACACAAGCCAGAGATTCAGCTGGGCAGTGAAGGCATTCAGAAGAGCACATTCCTGTATAATAGTAGGAACACACCTTGCCTGCCTGCAGCCAGTATACAGAAAAGGGAATCTCCCGCTCAAGCGGAAGTAAAGAACTTCCCTGCAGTTCTTACTGCTGTGTGAAAACGGACAGAAGTGGCAGCAGCAGACAGGGTTCCAAGTCTTTGGCCAAAGTCATGTTGAGTTGCACTGATTTAAGTCTGCAAGAGGCAAAGCAGTAAATCACATGAATCCCACTTTTTTTTTTTCCTCAACTTTTACTGTTCTACAGTGAAAGCTTTTCAACATTTTACACACTGAGTTCACAACATCTGTGATAACACAGGCATAGAGATCTCTTTTTCACTTCGATAACAGACAGTAATTTCCATATGCTCCAACAAGAAACAGAGAGACTTGTAAGGTAATTAGATACAGACACATTAAATTACAGAAAAACCAACTGCAGCATTAATAAGCTATTTTGATTCATTAGTGTGTCAGATTCCAAAGTGTATTGACCCACATATATCAGGTGTAAATAAGATAAAACAGATCCATCTCTGCCATAGATTTCAGGACTCGTGCAGAATTTACAGTGACAGTCCTACCAGCTCAATTGCTTTCCCTATGACCAAATTCCTGTCCAAGTGAGATAGATCTGACTATGAAAGCAACGTGCTGGAAACAGTATTGCCATATAATGCTGATCTCTGAAAGGCTTCCACTGAAACTGTTTTTCAAGCAAAGTACAAGGGCTCTCAAAACTCTTTGCATTCCCAAGCCTAGGAATAAAACTTTGGGCACTAGGACAGAATTCCACTACTGGGATTCTGCACAGCGTTCTCAGCTACGCCCACCTCCATTTAACAGTAGAAAGCTCAAGGAAGAGTTTGTGCTCATACTGGTGGATAAAGCATCACCATCTTTGCTATAGCACTGGATGAAATACTTTGTAGCGCTCCTACCTCCAACCAGTGGTAGTTGGTAGAAGCACCTGAATGAAAGTATAAGAATTTGCAAAGTCACAAGTGAATGCGATTCACTTTCATCACTTACATAACCATCTGAAGATGAGCCAGCAGATCATCAACTGGTTTATACAAATAATTGTAACATTGTGCTGGAACAGAACACAGCCATCAGCTTTAAGGATTTCTTAATCCCTCTCTAGATTCAGAGTACAGCCCCCCTCTAGATATGCCTCCACTGATAAAACTCAAATCCCCTTCCAGAGCTGGCACTTAAAACAGCTCCAATCCTAGTGGCCTGGATTTACCTTCCTGCTAACACACTCAAGAGAGCAACCAGCCAACAGCTATATAACATGTAAAACTTGGGAGAATATTTGCTCCACTCAAACATATTAGACAATTCCAGCTGCCAGGATCCGAGCACTGAAGTGGCTTTATCTGGAAATTACAGATCTTCCTGCTTTCAGGTCCTCAAGGTGCACAGATAAACTAAACATTTATCTTCAGAAGGGTCTGAATGTTTAACTAAAGCAAGCACAAAAACCAACAATCCTTTTCTAGATCCCATTATTTGTTCTGCTGTACGAACACAATGCT